TGGCTTGATCACAAAATCAAAATACAAATCACACAATTAGGATCACAAACCAAGTAATAAGGCTCTACGAACAAATCCAAATCAAAAGGTCCACAATTGTCTTGAATCAACAACTAGGGTTTCGTGCCTTGATTCAAAGGATAGGCTTCCCATCTTGAATGCAACACCACAATCCCTAGGGCTCGATTCTTGTGCAAATCCTAGCTCTTGTTAGGCATAAATACCACAACCTTGAATCTATGATGAATTATTGATGCAATGGATGATATGAATGCATTTGACATGAATGAGTGCAAATGAATCTCAAACTAAAAGTCAAATGAAAAATGAGTGTTTGAATTCATCATTGTACCTGAGTATACGTAGGAGCAAGACTCACAATCTTGTCAAGCACCCTAATAAAAAAAAAGGCAAAAATATTGTCTAGGTCCTTTAAGTTATTTTAAAATATCAAGTTAGTCTTTTATGTTTTTTTTTGTAACGTGTTGCTCCTTTATGTTAAGTAACGTTTGCATCGTTGACCTTTTTAAAAATCTCTGTGACAAAGCTGTAGTCGAAATTTATTTTATGAAACCCTTTGAAAACCATGGTGTGTTGAAATTTTTGGATTTTAGCTAGAAATGTAACCCAAACCACGTCAGAGAATTTTAATGCAATGTCAATGTCACTTAAAATGGTCTTTAATGTCAATTTCGTGGGAGATTGATCACTTTCAATCATGAAGATTTTCACACGCATTTTGGTCTTGAATACAAAGGAATTGAACTCTTCGAAATTAATGCTCAAGGATTCAAGCATGCTCATTTTGTTGAATCTGTTTCTAAATATTTGTTTAAAGATCATCTATAAGCTACAAGTGTTTCCATAAATAATATGAAGTGTGAAATAAGAATGCTTCACTAGGTTACTGTAAAAATTCTCTACAAGAAACCAAGAAATTGGGTAAGAGTTGATGACTAAGACTTGTACCTCATATGGCTTCTGCTGATTTAGAAAGAATTCATCTGGGTAAAGTTTATTATGGACTAAATTTCTATCTTCAATTCAAATTAAAATTGGTTGTTGTTCTACACCTCATTCATTCAGTACATCTTAGAGTTGAAAGGTGTTTGTCAAATTGAAGTCAATCTTGAGAAAACACCAAATATATTTGATGAAATAGTTGTAAAATTGACGAGGTATGCTCGATATCTAGATGGAGATTATTTTTATCAGAATGAGTTTGCAAGGAGTTATAAAGATAGGTTTGTGACATATGACAAAACTCTAGAAGGCTATGTTACCTGGAAGGCTACATCCACATTTGACCCACCTTCAACTAGTTCATACTTCTTACCTCTTGTTTTGAAGATGTATCTGGATGTTTATGTTGATAGGATTATGTCTATTGTTTAAGTGATAAAAGAGTGCATGATATCTTTCCTTGAAGAATACACTGCTGAAGCTAGAGCAAGGGAAGATTGGATGATGGTTGAGTTGGCTAATGTCAAAGAAGTTCTCGCAATTATAAAGAGTTCAATTTTTTTATTTATTTTGGATACCTTTCCGCCCCTCCTAATCCATGTCTCTTAGGCCTACCATATTTTAGCAAGCATATCACTTTCACTATTGTATCATATTAGAAATCTTATTTATCGTTTTTTTTATATTGGTATCTTTGCTTTTGTGGGTATTTTGACCGATTAGGTCCTTTTGGTGGATCATACTTTGTTAAGAATGTTTTTGGCCATTTTATGGTTATTTAAATAATGATCTTCCATTTTATATTGTTTTTAATTTACAAGTATCTTCATATCTTTCATATTTTATAAAATTGTGTTACTTGTGCGTGAGTGTGTGTGCACGCTCGCGCGCGCTTGTATGCAACTTTCTAGTTTAAATTTTTCTTTTGTATGAAATTTTAAAATTGTTTTTCCATGTCTCTATGAGTTCATTTGTATGTGTGTTATCTGTTTTTTATTTTTTTTATTTTTATATTTGTCAAAAGAGGAGAATGTTACAAGATATGATCATCTTATTTACGAGCATTAAGTATTTAATGTTGGGGAACTTAAGAGTTCAAGAGATATTCAAAGATATCAAATAAATGTGTATAATTTTTTTGTATGTTGATCAATAAACCCGAAATCAAATTACTCATTCAAATAATCTTTTCAAATTAAATCAATAATATCTCAAATTTTCCAAACATATAAAAAAGGGAAGACTGAAATTGCATTTTGTATCATTTATATTTTGATGTTCTGTTTAAATTTGATCTATATGTAATTTGATTTATCACTTATTTGTAATTTTTTATTTTGATTATTCGAATAGATTTGTTACATTCAATAAAGTAGTTTTGGACCCTTTGCAATGTGTTTTTAGCCTACAAAATTTGGTCTAAATCAATATGTTGAGTGTAACTTGAATCAGAAGTTAGAAAATTTAAGACAAGATTTTTATGAAGCTTTATTCGATAACACCTTCTGGTGATTCAAATCAAACATCAACAAAAAGTCTAAAATTGAGTTATGTTAGCCTAATTTGAATCAAGGATTTGTGTGATTTGAATCATAACACTTCTTGACTCAAATCACAAGGCTTTTGATTTGAATCATATGATCTAAGAGTATTTTGAAAAACAACTGTGATTATAATCATGCTTATATTGACTCGAATCATACACAAAAATCTTGATTCAAATCAAATGACAAATTCCTCACTTTACTATCTTTGATTCAAATCGTTCTTTCTTTGATTCAAATGATAACCTCATAATTTGACCCAAATCATGTTGTCTTTTCTTTACCTTATTTGTACCCAACCTCTAGCACTTATTTAAATCCTTTTTAATATCTCTTTTATGGTTGATTATCAAGTTGGTCATTCAGTAAGCCAATAGACTTTTAGTTAGTTAATCTTGTTGATTAATAAAAGGATATTCGTCAAGAAAGAGAAGTATCACAATGAGATTCTTTCAAAGTGAGATCTAGAGATATCCATACACCTGCTTTCAAAGAGCTTGATAAAAACTACAAATCCACAACCTTTTTTACTCCACCTTGTGAAAAACTTCCTATAATGTTGATGTTGTGGGAGTTTTTTTGTTGTGTTGTGGGAGATTCTTTAGATAACCTTCATCATCTTCAATCTTGTATCAAGAAACCATTGTTATAGTGTTCAACTCTAAATATTGAGTGCGATATGTAGATTTAAGGTAAATTTGGAAAGCAAATGTTTTTTAGAAGTTTTGTTGTGTGTATCAAGAAAAAGAACCACTTTTTGTCTATGGTGTTTGATGGTAATTGTACAACAAGAGAAAAGTTTTCATGTACTCCATGAAATATTTTAGTGGAACTGAATAAAGGTTTTCACATAACGAAGTTGAGAGTTTTTCGATTTTTCTTGGGTAGAACAATCACTCAGACAAGGAACCGATAGAGCCGAATGAAGGTTGTTGTAGAATGAAAACTTGAAGTAGGATTATTATGTTTAACAAAATCATTGAATTATGATCATTAAAGATATTTAATGTGTGCATTTGAGTAAATCTGCTTCAACAAAAGAGATTGTAAATTTAGATCTCTATTGTCTCAAGCGCCGAATGAAGGTTGTTGTAGAATGAAAACTTGAAGTAGAATTATTATGTCTAACAAAATCATTGAATTATGATCATTGAAGATATTGAATGTGTGCATTTGAGTAAACCTGCTTCAACAAAAGAGATTGTCAATTTAGATCTCTATTGTCTCTAGCATTGGAATTTGTAGTGTTCAAATTGTTGATGATATGTTGTACCAAAATATTTGCATCATTATCTTTACAAATAGTAACATAGTGGAAGACATTACAATTTTTTTTGGTGAAACAATTGAAGAGTGAACTAAGCTCTAGCTATGACAAATGAGTTGGACCACTTTAGATTTGGCGTACATTTTTATTTTCCCTATCTCCTTTAATTTTGTGCATTATATCGTATGCTTTTAAATTTGTTTATAATTATAATGTCATATAAATTTTGATCTTGTTTTATAGTATTTTATCATATAAATTTTGGTCTGCAATGTATCTAATTCATTAACTATTTTATTCCTTGATTATAATTGGGATGACTCTAAGTTTGAATTAATCCGTAGTTGTTATATCTCAATTTTAAATTATACCCAAAATTGTGTTAAGATCAATCTTAAATTGCTTATCAAAACAATTTCTTTTATCTCGATAAATTCAATGTTGATTGAATCATTTATGATAGATGGATAACAAAACGTATAATCCTTAATTGTATCGGCTATATTTTACTTCCACCTAACACTTATGTTTTCTCGTATTAAACTCTAATTTTGCACACAATTTTTTATTTTTTTTAAATAGTATAAAACCCTGATTTTGCACACAATGTTTTATTTTTTAAAATAGTATAAGAGGGTTGGAAAACACATTCTTTCTTTTTTGTCTTTTTATTTTTTTTTTAAGAAGCAAATTTGATTGTTCATAAATTTATTTTTGCACAAAAAAAATGTAGCGAGATCACTTGAAGGTAGCTTCTTGACATGTGTCAAATTATTTCATTTGGGAGAGTTTTACGTGGATATTATCCAGATAGATATTCAGATATTCAATTGGTTGTAAGTTTTATCTCTATATTATAAAGAGATTGATTTAGAGACTATGAGAGCCTCATTCTGTAAATACAAGATATCCTTTGTTCTATACCAAGTTCCTCTTATGAACTCTTTGAGCATATCCATGAAGGACAGTTTGAGAAATACAAATTTTTTTATTGCATTAAAATTTTTTTATTGCATTAAAATTTTTTATTATTATTATAAGCTAAAATTCTTTATAAGTGTAAAATAGAAGATAGATAAACTAGAATCAAACTCTTGCAGATAACTTTCAACATGAAATATCATTTACATAAACAACTTTCTTTCGCTCAAATATCATTAACAAGGCAGAAATATTTTCATCCCCCTAATTATTATTTCCATCAACCATTAGTTTACATAACAAACCTAATCATGCTTCTTTCCTTTGAGCTTTCCTTTGAGCACACCAGCATCCAGCTTTTTATAGTTATGTTGCATCTGACCAATGACTTTGTACACGAAGTCGTCGACTTCGTTCTCGTACTTTTCATACAGAACTGGAAGTGTATGTGCAGCAATAATACCTTTTCGAACAAAAGATGTTTCAGTATTCAAGTATATCATGAGTAATAAATAAACTAAAAGGGAAAACATCGGTGTTGAAGTTCGAAAAAGGTTCCATCGACGAGAATGTTTGGTAGAAATATAAACAAAACAATATACATGACACTGAACCATCAAAAGATGCAAAGAAATCTGATCTCACCAATATATATGACAGTCAAAAAATTGCACCAGCTCCCGATCACTGAACCAGCCCACAAACCTGCTACAGCCTGCGAGTATTTCAACCTTCAACCATTGATCACAAATTCCAAAGATAAATACATGCAACATTTCTTTCTTAGTTTGGCCTTAAGCCTCCACATACTTGGGCTGGCCGTGCTGGGCCTTAAACCCTGTAGGCTGCAATGAAGGCAAGCCAAATGCCGCAATTAGGCGACTAGGGGCGGACTGCAATGAAGACGACAATCTATGGAGTGTGACGTTATGATGGAGTTATACAACATACTGATAAGACACCCGTGACTCAAGGGATTTGACGGCTTAATCATTGGGCCAAAGTACACCCGTGACTCAAGGGATTTGATGGCTTAATCATTGGGCCAAAGTCACACACTTACAGCTTCTAAAAGGCCGAGTCAGTTAGAATATTCCTTGATTTTACGGATATAAAATATGCATATTTTAAGGTTAACTATGGATGATGAATGGCTATATCAAAGTAAATAAGCATAACTAGAAACATACAATGAGAAAAAGCTTCAAGTTTCCTTCACAAGAAATATCTTGAAGAAAGCTCAATCCACGGTTAGCCTCATTCCCGATTACAGTTGCAATATTCACAAATAACTCTTCTGGGACAACAAGACGGGGCACATTAGACGGTGTACTGTCAACATAAATCACAAGTCATAATCAATTAAACATGTAAAGTTGAGAAACACATCCACATATAATGAAAATATGTAAAGTTGCTCAAATCACCTGTTAAACAAACTAGAAGCATTTGACCATAGAAACTGCACGAGCATGCCAAGAACCAAGGCAAAGCATAGAAGAGAAATAAAATTATAATTGAGCCATTCAAATAGCACCCATACAATTGTTGCGGCAGATAAAAAACTAGCAGAAATCTTCTTGTTCCTCCATAACATAACATCCGCAGCTGTAACGTTTATAACCAAAATAAAAGAAGAAAATTAAAATTCTTCGTTGATATAAATATGTACATCTCATATTAAATTGAGTATAAATAAATACCATACATTTTCCACCTCCTAAGAGATGGTGTACGGGTTTCTCGCGTCCAAACAGTCTGTTGATCTCGGAGCTCACTGATTTTGATTTATCTTCCTCGAAGAATGATACTTTCTTTGGCCTGTCTGATAATGTATCCACAAGGTTGTGAAGGAGATTTTCTGCTGTGATTTTATCAGACATTGTTCACGACTTGTGTGCTACCTAAAAAACAGCGAGAACATGGTAAAAAACTATAGAAAATAGCTTACACCAAACATCAGTTTATGAGAAACCTGATATGTAAAATGAATACACAGAGGGTTCAATTTTGTTCAGTATCAGTTTGAAAAACGGTCCGTTACGGCGAAAAGGATCGCGACAAAACAGTATCGGAATGTGCTGATACCGATATTCAATGTTTTTATGCTGATACCACGATCAAATGTTACGACCGCAAAAAACCATTAGGGCCGTGAAATGTCATTACTACACCGTTATGGATGCGGAATTTTTTAGAATAAGAATATAAAAATACAAATCACATAAAATAGTCATTATAAATATTGTGAGTAATAGACACCATAACGTAACACTTATACTAACTGAAATTGCAAAAGTCTTTACGCGACCGCAGTACAACTGCGACTGTTATTTAAAACTTTGTGTTAGTATCTGAAACCGACACGACACTAACACACGTAGTTACGTTGAATTACGTATCTACATGGTGTCTACGTGTCGGCTTCATAGGTATCGGCGTATCTACTAAACAATTGAAGCGTCAAAAACAACACTTTAGCAGATCACCAAATTAATCATACAGAAAACCAACACAATACAGAATATGTCCAAATACATGGATATATTTCCCAGAAAAAGAGTTGACAAACCATGATCACAGATAAAAAAGAAATTGAATGAAAAAATTCTAACAGGGCAAGCAAAAAGGAAAATGGATTATCTAACAAGGGTATGGGTATGGTATCATAGATTTTTTAAATTTGAAGTTCACAAACATAACTTGTACATGAATCCAAGACATAATCAATTTGAGTGTAATAAACAAAAGGTTTAAATAGTCTTTGTTCTAGCGAGTAATTGAGTTTGGTCTTATAATTTATTTATTTTGGTCTGAGTCATTATATCTCACTTTTTAGTGATTTAATCCCTATAACCAAAATCTGCAGAAAAATGTTTTCTGTCAATTTTTCTTCAGATTTTCTTGCAGATGACTCAGAAAAAAATAAGTTACAACAATTAAATTTAAAAACTCGCTACCTTACCGAAACAAAAATGCATTTAAACCTAAACAAAATCATTCAAATAAATCAACCAAAAAAACAGTACCAAGAGAATAAGAAGCTTCAATTAATGAATGGAGTGATAGAAGAAAGAACATAAGAAAGTGAAATTGACTAACCAGAGAGAAAGAAGAGGAAGAGGCGGAGATTGAGAAGTGAAAGACGGGGTTGGTTGCTATTTGGTTGAATTGAAACTGTTAAAGAATGGAGAGAGCATGTAAATGGTGAAGAATAACAATAACTGACCAAGTGGTCAACTACCAAACACACAAGTCACGTGTTACTTGCTCTATGTACTCAATTCAATTTTGATTTTGGTTTCTAATGATAAATAGGGTAAACAATTTTTTTTAAAAGAAAAAATGGGTCATAAAATTCAAAATGGGACCCATTATTATTACTAACATATCATTTAAGCCGGGCAGAAAATCAGAAACATCAGTTTTAAGGGCGTGAACTCAAATTAACGGCATTATATTAATTCACTTATAAAAAAAAGTGAATTCTAACTATTAAATTAGTCTTTTTGTTTTTTTAAATCTACATGATGATATAATTTTTTAAAAAATTCTAAAGGAGTATTTTTATATTAAAAAAATAATCTTTAAATTAAAAAAATTATTATAGTTATTTCACAATGCAAAATTAGCACTTTCCTTTATTTTATAATTTTTTTAAACATATATCACAATTTATAATTTGGACAGATTACTTAATTTTTATAGGCAAAACATGTTACTAAAAATGGAAAAAGAAGTATGGAAGACGTAATTCGAATCTTAAAAAAGAAGAATAAAAAGAAAAAATAATTTATTAAGATTGATGAAAGTCAAACTTAAAGCGGTATACAATCAATTTTTTTTTACTAATGATTTTTCCTAATGTTCTTTTTGAATGTGAGGACCACCACTATTATTATTACTCCATGATTTTCATAATGTGTCCTTATCATTACAGGGTAACAAATTAGTACTCACTCCGCAAAAGTCTAGGGCGGGTATAATTTAGGGTGCGAGTTTAAAACTTTGATTCGTCCTAAAAAAAAGTGAAGGAGAGGCGAATATGTCCTTCGGGCACTATACTTTTTTAACTTAAAAATGTAAAATTTTATGTTAAAGTCCGCACTCGTAAAAGACTGCAAAAAATTTGGAGTAGGCGTGCCATTAGATGGTGCATGTCTAAACCCTTAATCCGTTCCGCACTACGGACGCTCTGATTTCTCATTTGTCAATGAGAATACGTAGGTATAGGATTGCGAGATCCTAGCGAGCAACCTCCTCTCTTTTTCTCCCGTAGTTTCACGAACTACGGACGTTCTGATTTTTCACTTCTTACAAGTGAAAATACGTAGGCACAAGGGGCCAAATCCTTGGCGAGCACCCTAATCTAAAAACCACCCATTAATCCTTAGCAATCTAAATCATTTTACCTTACCTTTTCACTCTTTCCCTTAGAAGAAAACAAACAATTTAACCTAACATTTCTCACGAATCGAATCAAGAGATTCTCGTTGAGTACAACGGACGTGAGGGGTGCTAATACCTTTCCTTCATGTAACCGAATCTCGAACCTAGAACTTGGTTGCGATGACCATGTTCTTTCCCTAAAGGTTTTCTCGATATTTCCCTATCCTTCTTTGAGATAAATAAAATTCGGTGGCGACTCTGTTTTCCGCGATCATTCGCGAAGGATCGTGCTTTTTTCGAGGTACGACAACTGGTGACTCTACTGTGGAATTTAGAAAGGATCATTTTATACTTAAAGCTGACGACCCTACTTGGAGAGAGACGACAAACCCGGCCACTTGGGGAATAAACGCCAAAGTGAACGAAACAAGCAAACACCAGAATGAAAGAAAATGCTCGGATGCCATGCATACACATGAATACATATATGCGGGACTCTATGTTATTGGTGAAATGTAGAATGAACTTTGTGGGGATCATTGAGATGACTACTGTTAGATCCCAATTATAGTATGTATTTGGTCTCTTATTAGTAGTATTTTTACTTGTTTTTTATCTAGTAATGCATGAATTAGTAGTTGTATTTGCTTAGTTTCATTTTGTTTTGGTCCAAGTGAATGGTGCTTGTAATATTGCTGTTAGTGTGCAGGATTGACACTAGTAAAGCACCTTAGAAGAGAGGAGGCATAGCTGCCAGAAGAAGTTGGAAATCAGAGCATTCGCTCGACGAAGCTCAGCGAGTATTTGCCTGGCGAGTGCTGGCGAGCCAGAGCGAGTAATTCCAAATTAAACTCCCAGACCAAAAGGGCAGGAAGTTCGCCAGGAAATGGTTCCAGCGAAGCTTCGCTACCATTCTCCTGGCGAAGGAGCTGGTGAAGATGTCTTGGCTATTCCAGTAGCAAACCTGCATGAAGTTCGCCTGGTGAGTAAAGCCATCGAAGGTTCGCTTGGCGAATGGTTGATTCGCCTGGCGAAGACGCGATATCTCAGAGGGCTGTTTGCTTGCTGAAGGCACTTTGAAGTACCTTGTTTCTGATGTTCACCTGGCGAAGGTCTCTGTTCTCCTGGTGAATGGGCGCAATCATAGCCTATTTTGTACTTTATATATTTCTTTATAGGGATCATAACTTTACCACTTTTATATAGATCATATTTTCTTCACTAAAAAAACCAGAAATCTCTCATTTCTTCATCTCTTAGCAATATTTTACAAAAAGAAGGTGGATTCTCATCCAAGCTCGATTCTTCGACTCGAATGTTCATCAACCTTCTTTCGAAACTTGTTGTTCAAGAAACCATGGAAATGATTAGCTAAATACCTCTTTTGTCAAGGTTAGAAGTAGTTGGTTCAAAATTAATGTATTCTTCTTAATCTAATGTATGTGAACAAGTTGTTATTCAATATAGATGAAGTTATTTGTTACCATTTTTACATTTATGATTTGGTTTGTGTTAGAGATAAACTTATCAAGTCTTGACCTAATATCTTCATCTATCAACTATGACAAATGCTAGAGATAGATTTGGAAGTTGATATCCGCTTTGTATCAATCTTAATGCCTATGGTTTCGAGTGTTAGGTAGAGAGATCATTTAACGGTCGAAACCATATTTTTCACGAAATTGATTTAGAGATAAACGCTTTTGCGAGGATACGCGATTATGTTGGTTCGAACTTTGTTCACATATTTGGGTTAATAAATACATTTTGTTCTGGCCTGGGCCCAGCCTCGCGGCCCAGTCCAATAACGCACAAGGCCCAATAAATGGGGTAGCTTGACCGGGCACACATCCCCCTAGCCGGACAGAACAGCCTCCACGGGCAGAATCCCCCCTGCCAACGGGCATGACGATTTGTCCTCCCCGCTCTCGTGTGCTCCCCCCCTCGGGGAGGGCCACACACCGCCAGGGAATCCCACAAGCTCCCCTCCGCAGGGAGAACAACGTGCTCTCAGGGAGTCCCACGAGCTCCCCTCCGCGGGGAGAACAACTTGCTCTCAGGGAGTCCCATGAGCTCCCCTCCGCGGGGAGAACAACGTGCCAGCTGCACGTTCTCCACGTGCCCCCCTCCGCGGGGACACGTCACCAAACAACTGCCCACCTCCGAAAGAGCAGGTCAAACCCACTTTCCGGAGATCTTGGGACAGTTGGACTAGGGCGAAGACCACGTCCTGGTCTTCACTACGCCACGTAAGCCCTAGCAGTCACCTGGGTTGGGCCTGGCAATCCAGCCTAACGCAAGTGACCGTTGGCCCAACGCTGGGGTCTCTCTATAAATACCCTCTTCCTCAAGAGGGTCAGGTAATTCACTTCTTACCCACTTTCTGTACTTTGCTTTCACTCTGCCCAAATTCTTACTTTGGCATCGGAGTGTCTTGCATGTACACCCCCATTTCTCCTCCTCATCACCGGCGAACAGGTAGCACTCCAACAGA